AGGGCATTGGACTTCGACCGCGTCACCACTACGCGAGTATTTGCGACCGCGGCAGCTCCGCGAACTGCAGTCGCCAAGGGGGGCGACCTTCTCATGAGGGCAGATATTCAGGCGAATCCAGTCAAGGCGTCGAAGGCGCTATATATTAAACTCAAGACATGGTTTGACAACAAGTGCTTCAAGATACGAGATACATCCAAGGCGTCAGACAGCATGACTCCGAGATACGCATATAAATAGAATGATACCAGAGAAAAAAACCCAATCAGATTTTCGTTAAGGCTATTGGGCTATACGGCTATCGGGCTATAGGGCTATAGGTCTATCGGGCTATAGGGCTATAGGACTGTGACCTATAGGGCGATGGGGCTATAGAGCTATATGGGCTCTGGGGCTATAGGGATATAAGGCTATTAGGGCTATGGGGATACAAGGCTATAGGGCTACAGGGCTATACGGCTATAGGGCTATAGGGCTATAGGGCTACTGCGCTATTGGGCTATTGGGCACCCCCGGGCACCCGGGCACCCCCGGGCACCCGGGGCCCCGGGCACCCCCGGCACCCGGGCACCCGGGCCCGGTCACCGAAATTGGCCACCCGGGCACCCCCGGGCACCTGGGCACCCGGCCCCGGCCACCGAAATCGGCCACCGACCTCACTTCAGTTTTATATCCGCTAGGACCCTTACAGAAGCAAGCTCTGATTGGGGAACAAGCTCTGATTGGGGAAATTCGCCAAGAACGAAAAGGGCGAGATGGAGCGTGCCATCAGATTGCGATTGGTACTTCGGGTTGTCATGGACCTCGAAGCCTTCGACGTAGAAACGTTCTCAGGAACTGCGCGGCGGCCAAGCCAGCGATTGCTCGCCTGCGCGGCAGCGCGCAGGGAGCAGCGGATCATTGAATCCCTTGACATCAACATGGCCTTCCTGAAGGGACTTACGTATCGTGAGCTCGCTGAAGCAACCGGCGAAAAGGAACGCGCGACGTGCTTCGCGTTGCCGCGTGGCTCAGCATCTGCGCTCAGATCTCCGCCAGGGCTCGAGCACTATGATGAGTCAAGACACTGCTTACAGTGCCTTAAACCAGGCACTGGCACCACAGATGCACCAGGAGCCTTCTCACTGAAGCTCAGGAAGACCACAAGAAGCTTCGGTCTAAGATTCACGTCTTACGACGAAGAGTTCGAGGCCAGCCCTGACCTTCTTACTATCAAGCATCTTGATATAGACATGGCCGGCACCGAGGGCACCATCGAGGAGTGCGTCAAGTGCGTTGAGGACACTTTTGGGGAATGTAATCTCGACGTAGGCAGATATACCAATTGTGCCGTAATATACGCGAAGGACAGCGGCGGCAATGTTACCCTTGACCGAAACGAATACATAAAACAGCTCCGTCTTATCAAGCACCATGAATTCAGGGGCGCAGATGCCGAGGCTAAGGCATCGAAGATGGTCACGGACACGTTCGTCAGCTGCAGAAGCGCTTTGGCCTGCGCCCCTCTCACAATGGCGCGGTTCATGGCATGTGTCGCATCGCTACGGCGTGCCCAAGATACGACCAATATGCAAGTGCTACGACTTAGCGCGACTACGAGGAAGCTGCAGGCCTGCCCTGGGACGATCTTTTACCAAGCGATGACATCAACGGGCGAGGCCGATCTACATAGCGACTCCGGCTACCGTCGCCTGAACGGCGATGCCGACGACGAAGTCAAAGGCCATGGCATTCGCGGGGCAAACCTGCTAAGGCGTGGACACACGCATGCTGGTAAGCCTGTCACCCATCTTGCCGGCGCGCGCTGCAAGTCTCATCGCTTGCAAGCCCGCTCGAGCTACTCGGCGGAAACGCCTAGCAGCGGCCCCAAAATTGGAGGACTGCTGTCCCACGATTGGTTGCGCTGCACGAACTCCACGAAGGGCCGCTGACGCGCGCTCAACTGAAGAATATACGGGAGATGGGCGGCCTGAGCATTAAGGTCACTTTGACACTTGATGCTAAATCCGTCTTCAAGTCCTTGTCAAGCAAAGACCTGAAGAAGCCGACTGAGTGCACAGTCATGGATTACATTAGTTGGATGTGGCAAGTGATGGAGCGATGCGTCGTGCATTGCGTGCGCTGGTGCGACACTCGCGAAACGACTGCGGATGGCCGCGCCAAGTGGATCATCGACAGAGTCATGCTCCTACAAGTCATGGGAGGCGCGCAATCTTTCAATCGCGACTTGAAGCGACACAGCCCCTACAGGGCGGGCCAGACGAGACCGTCTAAGCCGCTTGAGGAGTAGTTCGCTGCGGGGCGACTTGCCCGCGGGTCAACCTGCCTAGGTTGAGCCCGCCGGCTCCTGCATACCTCGGTGTGCTATAGTTGTTTTGTTGGGCAATGCCGGCAGCGGACTCGCACTTCGTCTTCCCCCCCGATTAGGGCATGGGCGAGATGTATCGAGCGTTTGTCCGCGGCCATTTCGGTCCAGTGACCGGCCACCTATTTGACCGCGGCTCTCTGAGGCGCACTTCCATACATCGAGACAGAAACGCATCATCCTCACTTTTGAGATGCACCGCCGCTTTCGCGGCTGCTTCCTACTTTTGGGACTACCGCTGATACGGCACAAAAGAGTTGGGCGCATGCTTCGCCAAAGGCGAAGCATCTGGTTGGACCTCCCGACCAGTTTCAAGCTAAAGAACCAATGCCAAACCGTTTAGGATTCAGCGCGCCAGGAACCCCTGCGACAAGCACAGGGGGGGGGCGGATAATTACATGACGACCTTCGGCCCATCCTGCCACCGCGCCTGGGTTGCAGGTCGGAGGCCTCCTGGATGCCTGTGGGGATCTCTTGGGAGGCCTCTCGGATGGCGCTTGGAGGCGGCGGCATTGGGGATGTCTTGGAGTTTCTTGGGGGCTCTTGGGCCTGATTTGGGCATCTCGGTGCCCCTTGGGGGCCCATTGGGGACTCTTGGGCGCAGCTCGGGGGCTCGTTGGGGGAACTTGCGGCCATCTTGGAGCGGAAGGCTTAGCATGTCAGGTCATGGCAATGTTTTTTGGGGGCCCTCTTGCGGCCGTCTCGGACGCCTATCGGGCCCATCTTGGGGTTTCTTGGGTCGTTTCGGGCAGATTTTGGCCACCCGATGGGCCGTGTTGGACGCCCTGAAGGCCGAGAGGGTGGCAATTTGAAAACCTGACAACATTTAATTGATTTCAACGAGCTTGATCATCTGGGCTGCCTTCCAAGGCCTCCAAGAAAGCCCGCGAAAAGGGCCCCAGGACAGCCCCCCGGGACCATCGGAAACCACGCGGGACATGCATGCCCCGAACAACGCGCTCTTAGGGCCTCTCGACAAGTCAGGCGGGGACCCCCCAGCAGCGCCCGGGAGCGCCCACACTTCCGGGCTGGCCGTTAAAAATATGAACAGAAGCCAGCACCGAGAACTCGAAGGGACCGGGGGACAGTCCAATTCGAAGGGGCCAGAGGACATTCCAATTCCAGACTCTCGCTCTCTCTATATGTGTTGTCTCTCTCTCTCTACCCCTCTCTTTCTCTCTCTCTCTCTGTCTGTTTCTCTCTCTCTCTCTCTCTCTCTTCTCTCTCTCTCTCTCTCTCTCTCTTTCGCTCTCGTTGTCTCCATGTTTATCTATGTTTATCTCTTTCTCTATATTCCTCTCTCTCTCTCTCTCTCCCTCTCTCTCTCTCTGTCTCTCTCTCTCTCTCTCTCTCCTCAGTTTCTCTGTGTGTATGTCTATACATATATAGACAGATGTGTGTTCCTGACCGCCCACACCTCCATTATCTGCCTGCTTCGCATGCACTTGTATCAGTATTGTTATTTCCGTCTCTCTCCCTCTCTCTGTGTCTCTCTTTCTCTCTCTCTCTCTCTCTTTCTTGTTCTCTCTCTCTCTCTCTCCCCCTCTCTCTGTATATCCCTCTATATATATATGTATATGTATATCCATATCTTTATCTCTCTCTCTCTCTATGTGTTGTCTCTCTCTCTCTTTCTCTAATTATTTTTTGCTATTCCATTTGTATACATAGACAGATATGTATTATCCCTAACCCTCCACCCCCCACCCCGCCCTGACTCAGTATGTATAAATACAAATATAGATATATCTAGATATATTTATATATATGTGTATATGAAGGTGTATATACCTTGTCCGTTCTCCATAAAGCTAGGTTGGCATTTGGATATGTATGCAGATGTATAGATAGACATTCCTATATCGGTGTTTGTCTGTGTAGATATACCGTGTGCGTGCGTACCAATGTACAGAACGACATGGGTGTATATACATATGTGCGTATACATACGTACACATCTTATCCATGCAGTGCTTACACTTAGGGTTGTTTGCTTGCGTTTCTAAGGAGTTGGACAGGTGTCCCAAGGATTCGCGACGTTTTGGCTTGTTGCCGCCCAATTGCCGCCCGTTGCCGACTGTGGGGGTCTCCCGGGGATCCGCCTCGTTCCGGCCCGTTGCTGGCCGTCGCCGCTTGTGGGCTTGTCCCCAGGATTCGCCACGTTCCTGCCGGTTGCCGCCCGTTGCAACCTGCTGGGGGGGGGGGGGCCCAGAGGATTTCACCATGTTCCGGCCCGCAATGCTTACACCGCATAGTTTCCACCTCCAAATCTTACACCACATAGTTTACACACATAGCGTTCACCACACAGCGTACACTGCATAGCGTTTACCTCCAGAGCGCAGCATCGCAGTGTGGGGTCCACGCTGGCTACATTGTGTATGTAAGCAAGTGGTGATTCCACTCTGCTTGGTTGGCTCTCTCTCTCTCTCTCTTTCTCTTTATTTGTTGTTTTGTTCTCTCTCTCTCTCTCTCTCTCGCTATATAGGTATAACCCATACACCCCCCATCCCTCTTCCCTCCCTCATTCGTTGTTTCTGTTTCTCTATTTCTCTCTCTCTCTCTCTCTTTCTCACTCTCTCTCCCTCTTGCACTCTCTCACTCCCTCTCTCCTCCATCCCGGTTCTGCGTGGAGGTGCGTGCCAAGCGGCCACGGCAGACGCAAGAGGTCTACTATCAATCGGGGCCGAGCGCCACACACGGGCCGTCTCCCGCGCCCTCGCCGTTTTGGGAGGGAGAGGGAGGCGGCGGAGGAGAAGAAAGAAGGAGGAAGAAGGGAGATGGGGAGATGGAGGGAGACGGGGAGAAGGACGGAGGAGGAAGAAGGAGGGTGCACGGCAACGATTGATGACGCCATCGCCATCGTGTGCAGCAATCGACGCGGCTTGGATGTGATCACAGATGCGCAATGTTTACCATGCGTACGCAATATTTGTCGTTCGCCATGCGTGCGCGATGTTCGTAGTGATACGCCAGCGTCATGACTATATTAAGTTAATGTGCCCCCCTCGAGGTTCATATTCCGTGCGCTTCTCTCCCGCCCCTCTATCTTTATGTGTACACTACTCTGAGGCTCCCTCTCTCTCTCGTTCTGTCTGCCTGTCTCTCTCTCTCTCTCTCTTGTTATGTCTCCCTCTCTCTCTCTCTCTCTCTCTCCCCCTGCTCTCGCTCTAGTTATCTTTCTCTCTATATATATGTGTGTGTAGATGCCTCTCTCCTTTCATATGCTTATTTGTATACATGTATGCACATGCCCTTGCAAGACACATGCATGTGTCGCGTTCGCTCTCTCTCTCTCTCTCTCACTCGCTCGCTCTCGCTCTCTCTGTCTCTCTCTCCCTCTCTCTCTCTGTCTGTCCCTGTCTCTCTCTCTCTCTCTATGTGCCTCTCTCTCTCGTTCTCTCTCTCTCTCTCTCTTTCTCTCTCTCTCTCTCTCTCTCCCTCTCTCTCTCTCTGTCTGTCCGTCTCTCTCTCTCTCTCTATGTGCCTCTCTCTCTCGTTCTCTCTCTCTCTCTCTTTCTCTCTCTCTCTCTCTCTCCCTCTCTCTCTCTCTCTCTCTCTCTAAACACACACACACACATGTGTGTGTACACATACCCTTGTATCTCTTATACACACCAACCCCCCTCATCCACATCACAATGCTATGCTTACTGGCGCTACTTCGATGCGTACCCCGCGAAGAGGTTCGTGATCTGGTTGTGCGTCTCTCTCTCTGCTCTCTCTCTCTCTCTGGATATCATTGTCTCTTGCTGTTTCTCTCGGCGCGCACATCTTTATAGTCATACATACAGAAAAAGAAACGAGACGTATAACCAATCCTATGCATACATATCGATACATATATGTATATATCGCCCCTCTATGCCTCCATCTCTCTCTCTCTCTCTCTCTCCCTCGCCCTCTCTCTCGTTATCTCTCTACATTTATTTATGTATGTCTCTCTCTCTCTCTCTCTCTCGTTCCCCGCATACAGTTTATACTCATATGCTGAACATGTAAATGTGTACACGTGTATATAATAGTGATCTCTCTGCCTCCCCCCTGCCCCCACCCTCCCAGGGCCCATTCGATCTGGTCGATCCGATGCGGTACCGATTTCACCCGGCACGATCCGACTCGAGCTCGACGGTCCGACGACCCGGTGCGGCCCGATCCGACGCACTCTCCGATCCGATCCGGATTCTTGGCCCGATGCTCGTCGCTCCTGCTTTCCTTCCTTCTTCCTCTCTGAGCTTCCTGGCCGCCCCTCGGGCGCGGCCCGCGGGTAGCCTGACGTCCTCCCACGACCCAGCGTGGGCGCGGCGCCCGGCGCCTGCCGACCGCACGATCGGCGATCGCCGCTCGCGGCTCCCCGAGGAGGGGGGAGGGGGATCTCAGGGGAAAAGCCGCAGGAGCTCAGACTCTCGGAGTTCCGCGCGGATTTCGTGGACCTGCGCTGGCAACCCCCCGGCGGCGCTTCCAGCGCCGCCGAGCCGAGGGTTGATGCTTGTGCTGTTCTTTCGTCCTCCAGGGGAGGAGGCATACTCCTCCCCTGCTCAGGAGGTCTCCTCCCTCGTGCCCCATCGCCCATCGCCTTGACGGCTGCTTTAACTTCCGCCGTTCTGGCGGCGTGGGCCGCCCGGGAGGGGCAGCGTCTAGCACAGACGTCAATGTCCGCTGCCTCAAGGCTTGGGAGGAGGAGGAGGAGGAGGAGGAGGAGGAGGGAGACTGCGGTGATTATTCGCAAGTTCGGAGTGGTTCGGTGATCTACGAAGATTTGTGCGCGTTGCCCCAGTGGTGCTTTCTCGCAGTTGCGCTTCGCCGAAAGCCGTCCAGGGACACCCGCATCGTCTCGCGAGAGGGGAGGGATAGAGCAGAGGGGGGAGGAGGAGGATGTGAAGGAGGAAGAGAGGGATATGGAGGGAGGAGGAGGGAAGGGGTGGGAGGAAGCCCTGTCTCTCCCTCCTTATCCCCCCCCTTCTCTCTCCCTCCCCCTCCCCCCCTCATCATCCTCCTCCTCCTTCTCATCCTTATCCTCCTTCCCGCCCCAGGTCTCCCCCCCTTCTACTTTCGCCTCCTTCCGCCTCGCCCCTGCTTCTCCACCTCCTCACCCTTCCCGCGTCCACCTCGTCATCCCGGCGCCGCTCGTGTGGCCATTGTTCGCGGTCCGATTGGGGCGGCGCGGACGGCCACCGGCGATGGGCCGGGGCGCCTCCGAGGTGCAGCGACAATTGGAGGTGCTAGCCCCCAAGCTGCGGTCGCAGCTCGCCACGAAGGCGGGGGGCGCCGCCCAGAAGCACCTGAAGGGGCGGCAGAAGTAAGGGGTAGTCGTGAGGGAGTGTAAGCTTCAGGATCGCACAACGTGCAGAAGCCTCAGGCGCAACGCCCGGACCGCCCTAACGACACGCCTGGTGGTAGACGAGTGGGAGGTGAGGTACGTATCCAAAAAGTGTAGGGGCAGAGGTACTACCCCTCAGGGTCAATTTCGATCCGATCGATCCAATTCGCTATTGATTTCGGCCAGCCTGGTCCGATTCGAGTCCGATATTCCGACGACCCGATGTTGCCCGACATTTCTGTGGCATTATTGTGCATCCCAGCGCGGCCGGTCCGATTCGATTCCGACTCCGTGCCGATGCGGCCCGATACGTCGCACATGTCGATTCGATCCGATTTCCCGATCCGATGATTGCTCGCCCTGCACTCCAGGGGCGGGGAGACTCCCGGGCGATCTCGACGCTGGGGAGCTCACCGATGATGTCGGGCAGGATTTGCGCGCCCAGCGTTGGCCTCAAGCCGCTAAGCATCCAGACGGCGAGGACCCAAAGTCGCCGTAGCCGACCCTCTTCCCATACTGAGACAGGGAGAGCGAGGGAGAGAGGGAGGAAGGGAGAGAGCGAGAGAGAGAGAGAGAGCGACGGGGGGAAGAGAGAGAGAGAGAGAGTTACCGATTCGGTGCTGACCGATGCAGCCCCTGGCGCGCTGCGAAGGTTAACATGGGCCAGACGCCTAACATCAAGTTCGTGCCGCAAGCCGCCTCGCAGGAGCTCAAAAGGACGTGCGGCCATCGTCCCTCGAACGCCGCCGCCCGAGGAGGAGTAGGGAGAGAGGGAGGGACGGGAAGGGAGAGGTTGGGAGAAGGACGGGAGGGGGAGGACGAAAAGCAGGGAGAAGTTGGGAGACGGAGGGGAGGGGGAGGAAGGTTCGAGGGCGGCTCTTTTTCAAAATGTGGTTCTCGCTTTAGCGCCGCGCATATTCGTTTGCAATGTTTGTAAGAGTTTTACGGGTTCCCATCATCAACGTAGGATTCAGGATTACGCGAGCGCAACAGTTACAGTAATTCGCTGTGTTGAATTCCCAGGGTCGCCAACGCGCAATAGTCACGTTGATCCGTGGCGTTGGAATCCCAGGAACAATGTTTTGGCATGCTTCCGGGTCTTGAAACGGTTGTCTTCAAACGAGGCAGTTCCGTCAATTGAAGTGAACCATTGCAGGGGCCTATGAAGAGGGAGCTTGGTGGGTTTATTCCAACATCGTTGATGACTCTTGGGTTTACACTGGTCTTCCTCCTCCTCCTTCTCCTCGTACTCCTCCTCCTCCTGCTCCTCCTCCTCCATGCCTTTTCCTCACAAGTACTGCCCCCATCTCGCACCCCGAGGCCGGCCGAAAGGGCGGGCCAGGCGTTTCGCATGAGACCTCTTCACCACTTACGATTCTGAAGCTCCGGATGGTCAAAAGCTTCACGGATGGAGAGCAAGGCGTTTTCAAAATGTGGTTATCATTTTAGCGCCGCGCACGTCCGTCTTAAAAAGTTGCCCGAAGGTCGCGGATGGCGGGTGGGTGGTTTCCAAGCTCTAGTTCTCGCTTTAGCGCCGCGCACGCTCGCTTCTTGTTTAGAAAAATGCACGGGTGGAGTGCAGGTCGATGTCAAATTGTGGTTATCGCCGTAGCGTTGCGCGTTCGTTGGACAAATGCACGAACTTGACGGCTGGAGGGCGGCGAATGTTCAACATGCGGCTCTCTCTGTAGCGTTGCGTGCATGCGTTTGGAGAGTTTACAGCAGTGTTCAGGGTTTCCATGGCTGACGTCCCAACAAATAGTGTGTTGGCACGATGTTTGGCCATCAGGGCGCAACAGTTACGTTGATTCGTGGTAGTGGAGTCCCAGGAGTGGTGTTCCAGCACGATCTAGGAACAGAAAAAAAGGTGATTTTCGGCGCTGAAATCCCAGGAATGGTGTTGTGGTCCAGCTAAGGAGTTTCAAACAACGGGGCACTTCCTTCATTGAGAATGACCCCTTGTAGGAGCCTATATTGCCATATCGTTGGTGCGTCTTGGGTTTACATTGGTCGTCATCCTCCTCATCCTTCAGCCGACGCCACGTTACTTCTACACCTTCATCCTCTTCCTCATCCCCCACAACCATAACTGTATTAGTTCCCCTCGCCTCCTGTACCTTGTCCCTCCCATCTTTTTCCCTCCACCCTCATCCTCCCCCCTTCGTTTTCCTCACAGTTCCCCCTCTCCTCCTCATCCTCCACCTTCTCCAGCTGCGTCCCCCGCCCGTTTCCCAAAGGGAGTACTTGTGGCAGTTCGCCAAGAAGCTGCAGGACGAGGCCTTGTCAGGGGGAAGAGGGAAAGTGTGGGGAGGCAAGAGGAGGGAGGAAGGGGAAGGGTGGGGCACCCTGTGGGCCCACCAGCAGGCTAATGCTCGCTCGTTGCGTCCGATCGCTTGTTGGGCTCGGAGACGAGCTTCCTCCACTTGAGGGGAGGCGCTCGTATGTCCAGGAGTTACTGGACGAGCCGCGCCAGGGGAACCCCAGGACCAAGACTCAGCGAGTTGGTGCCCGTGCGCTGCACTATGTTCGTCTTCGTTGCGTGATAAGTCACATACGACATTTGTGAAGCGGCTTTCTTCCTGGGCTTCTGGCCGCCTTCGCAGCAGGCGTTGAAGGTAATAAGTCTGCCCAAGTTGAAGTTCCGCCTCCGCCTGGTCTGTGCACCTCCTTCCTGGCAAATATCGGTGCTGAAAAACCCTGGGGGCGAGTGGACGACGGAGCTGAGGATGTCACACACCGGCTGCCAGTGCAAACTTGGAATGCAATGGGGCTGGCGCGATCGACTCCCAGCCATATTAGATTAGCTTCCTGCTGATGTGGCAGGCTATCCAGGGCATCTGGTTCCCAGATTCGCCAGTGCGGGATCATATGGACAAACGTCTTGGCCTAGCCAGCTCCTTGGACAAAGGTAATCATTGCTATTTACCCTTGCAATGCCTATAGTCACTCGCCCTCGACGCCTCTGGAAGTGTCTGCACGTGCTGCACGTGCCCAGATGTTGTAGCAGGCCGAGATGAGTGACCACTTAGATTTGGTCTCGCCTCATGCTACGTGCGAGGCGGAGGATGACGGGGAGGAGGAGGGAGGAGCAAGAGAGGAAAGGAGGGGGAGGAGGAGGAGGGGGAGGAGGGGGAGGAGGAGCAGCAGGATCAGAAGCATGAGGAGCAGTAGCGGCGGCGGCGACACGATCAGGCGCCACACCGCGGCAGAAGGAGGGGAGGAAAGGGGAGGGAGGGAAGGAGGGAGATAGGGAGGGAGGCCAGTGAGGCTCACATGTCCCACCACCACCACCACCACAACGACCACCACCACCACCACGGCGCCACCCAGGCCGACCGCCGCCACCACAACAACGACGCCCGCAGCAGCCAGCGGCGGGCAGGGCTGTATTCACGGCGACGTTTGCGCCGGTCCCAGCGGCATGGCGACGCACTTCTTCGACGACCACGACCACGGCCACGACCCCCGACGACGTGACCGCCGACCCCTGTCTCCCCCCTCCCCATCCTTGCCCTCCGCTGGCCGTTCCTGCTTGTGTGTTCGCCCCACCTCTCCTCCTCCTCCTCCTCCTCCTCCTCCTCCGCCTCCTTCCCCTCCTACTACTGCTGCTGTTGCTGCTACTACGACTACTACGACGACGACGGCGACGACGACGACGACTACTACTACTACGACTACTACGACTACGACTACTACTACGACTACCTTGACTACTACTACTACTACTACTACTACTACTTCTACTACTACTTCTACTACTACTACTGCTACTACTACCACTACCACTACTACTACTACTACTACTACTACTACTACTACTACTACTGCTACGTCAACTAATACTACGACTTACTGACTACCAATGCTACTACTTAACTACTAAGACGACTCCACGCCCATAACAACTACTACCACTTACCACCTGATTACTCTCAACTATAAATACTCCAACCCACAACTACTACTAATACTACCACTACTACTACTACTACTACTACTACTACTACTACTACTACTACTACTACTACTACTACTACGTACTACTACGTACTACGTACTACGTACTACGTACTACGTACTACGTACTACGTACTACGTACTACGTACTACTACGACTACTACTACTACTACTACTACTACTACTACTACTACTACTACTACTAGTACTACTACTACTACTACTACTACTACTACTACTACTACTACTACTACTACTATTATACTACTACTACAACTACGACTACTACGACTACTACTACTACTACTACTACTACTACTACTACTACTACTAGACGTACTCTTACTACTTACTACTACTACACTGCTACTACGAAATGTTTACATACTACCACTACGACTACTAACTACTCACTATACTACTATACGATACTAATTTACTACTACTACTACTACTACTACTACTACTACGACTACTACGACGACTACTACTACAACAACGACTACTACTACAACTACTACCACTATTACTACTACTACTACTACTACTATTCCTACTCCCACAACTACGACTAATAGGACGACGACGACTACTACGACTTCTGCTGCTACTACTACCACTGCTACTACTACGAGTAGCGCTACTACTGTTACTTCTATTTCTACCACTCATATTGTTATTCTACTACCACGACGACTGCTACTACTACTATCACTGCCAATACTACTACTACTACTACTACTACTACTACTACTACTACTACTGCTAGTACTTCTACTACTACTACTAACAATATCACAATATAACAATACAATGAAAAAAAATGTCATGAATAACAAAGAAAAAAAAAAACAAAAATAAACAACTAAACTAAAACGAAACACTTGAATGCTACTCTACTGTACTACTTACGACTCACTACCGACTACTTACTACCTTTGCCCTGCTGCTTCGAGCGAATACTACTACTACTTTTACTACTACATACTACTACTACTACATTACTAGTACTACTACTAACTACCAGACTCATACCAAAAATAACTACGACTACTACTACGACTACACAACAACTACTACTACGCTACTACTATTACTACTACTACTACTACTACGACCTACGACACTTACTACTATTATTACGACTCCATTACTAATACTATTACTACTACGACTATTATACTTACTACTTAACTACTACTAACCCATAACACTTACCTTACGACACTACTACGACCTTCTACCATGTTCACTTACTTACTACTAACTACTACTACTACTACTGTCCGGACTAGTATTAATACTCACTTACTACTACTATACTACATAATATATACTACTACTACTACTACTACTACTTGTTACTACTACTACTACTACTAGACTTTACCTCACTACTCAAATATCTACTACTACTAATTACTACTACACTACTACTACTACTACTTCTACTACTACTACTACTACGTCTACTCCTACTACGGCTACTACTACGACTACGACTACTACTGCTACCACTACGTCTACGACTACTACGACTACGGCAACGACTACGACTTCGACTTCTACGACAACTACTGCTACTACTGCTACTACTACTACTACTACTACTCCGACTACTACTACGACTTTGTCTACTATTACGACTACTACTACTACGACTACTACTACTATTTCTTCTACTACTACTACTACTACTACTACTACTATAACTGATACTACTACTACTACTATGTCTACTACTATTAGTACTACTTCTACTAAGGCTACTACTATTACTACTAATACTAATACTACTACTACTACTACTGCTACTACTACTACTACTACTACTACTACGACTATTTCTAATACGACTTCTACTACTACTACTCTTAGTATTACTACTACTACTATTGCTACTACTACTACTACGACTACTACGACCACGACTACCACTACTACTTTTACTACTACGACTACTACGACTACTACTACTACTACCACTACTACTACTACTACTACTACTACGACTACTACTACTACTACTACTACTACTACGACTACTACGACTACTACTATTTCTGCTACTACTACTACTACTACTACTGATACTATTATGTTTTCTACTACTACTGCTACTACTACTACTACTACTACTACTACTACTACTATTACTACTCATAATAATAATACTACTAATACTACTATTACAACTACTACTACTACTACTACTATTACTACTACTACTACCACTACTACTACCAAGACTGCTACTACTACTACTACTACTACTACGACTACTACTATTACTACTACTACTACTACTACTACTACTACTACTACTGCGGACACGTGCACCACATCACCACGGCTCAACCGCCTTGGGATGAGCGTCCTTGTGGCTGCCTCATTTCCAGTATATAGCGAGCACCTCTTCAGGGTGAAATGGCGGGTCTGACGTGCATGCAGCGGCGGGCTCTTATCCGAGGGCAACTGGTCCCTACAGCCCAGAGTAAAGCGACCGCGGCGGCACAGCAGCACACGGGGCGACCCCAGTACCGCCATCCAGGCCAACCAGCGCAAGTAGGCGCGAGAAGAGGCCAGGATGGCAAGCCAAAATGGCTTGGCGCACAGTTGACCGTGCGAAGAACGAAGAACTAAGCAACAGGGCCCGCGGCGCGAGGGGGGGCACCACTGTGGGCGCACCCGCGCAAGCTGGCACGGCGGCGTTGCTAAAGCTGGAGCGTAAGCGAGCACACAGGCGCAGCATCATAGAGAGTGGCAGGCTCGGGATCTTAACACGGGAACTCACGTAGCCCCCCCGAGGGCTCTGAAGTAAACGATGCTGGGGGCCTGCAGAGTCTCAGCGCTCAGGCGGACTGGCCTGTCCCCTGCGCAATGGCTGCGAAGACCTGCGACGGCAGCGCCTGCACCTCTCCCCCGAGATCACCACTACCGCCAGCCTGCCCTGGGGGCCCAAAGATCTGGCGCTCGAGATCCTCACCAAGGGCACGTTCAGGACGGCGGCATTGGGGATCTGCTGCAAGGGCGGGCCAGCCGGCGGCGGCGGCACCGCAGGGGGCGCCGTCAGCGGCGGCGGCGGCGGGGCCATGATGGCCGCCTGCGGGGCTCCGGCAGGCGGCGGTGGCGGGACCTGGCTGCCGCGGGCCGAGCCAGTGGGGGGGGCACTGGCGGCGCGGGCGGGAGCGGCACGCGGGGCGACCCCGGTGCCGCCCCCGCCGCCTGCGAGGCTGCCCTCCCGGAGGTTGCGGCGGCGCTCATAGGCCTCCAGTTCCGCGTGCGCGGCCGCCAGGCGCTCCTTCTTGGCCTTCTTCCGCTGGTTCTTGCTGTAGCCCGCCCAGGCTGGATCGTTCAGCCCCCAGGCAACCTGCGAGTACATGTCGGACCGCTCAAACTCAGGCAGGTCGTCCCAGGAGAGCCCGTCCATTAGCACGTAGTGGCCCTCCCACTGCGGCTGCAGCGGAGCGTAGCGCTTAAAGACGGTGCCCACCGCCAGCGGCTCGACCCTGGGCAGGTGCTTCAGGAGGTCCACAGCGCTGAGCACCGCTACCCCCTCCCTCTTGAGCTCGTCGTAACGCAGCAGGGCCTTCTAAGTCGCGGATGTCCTCCTGAGGGAAGTCCGCGTGCATGTGGTACGCGCGGGGCGGGCTCAGCTCTTCCTCTATCATCTCGATGCAGACGCCGTAGGAGGTCGCGTAGCGCGCGCCACAATGGCAGTTCCAGCGCTGGCTGGACTCCCCCGCCGCCTCTTGCGCGCAGGTGAGCAGTTGCGTCCAGCGATCCGAACGGATCACCGAGCAGCATCCCTCGGGATTGTCCCAGGTCTTGTTGGCCGAGCACTTGTAGTACATGTTGAACGTAGAGCCCTTGCCACGGTAGAGCTGGTCCGTGTAGTCGCCCATCCGTCGGTAGGCCTCCTGCGCCATGGCGTTGCCCTGGCACTCCTCCTTCCACGCACGCTTGCGTCCCAGGTGCGCGTCCACGATCTCCGAGGCCTCCACGAGGCCCTTCTTCAGCCCTGCCACATCAGCCTCTGCCTCCACACCCAGCGCGTCGAGCCACTTCTGAACTCCGCCCTGCGCCGCCGCGCCCTTCATCATGTCCTCCTTCTTCTCCAAGATGGGCCCCATGCCCCCCAGCATGTGGGCGCGCATGGTCTCGAATTCGAGGACACTGCAGGCCCGCGCCATGCGTTTCAGCGATTTCTTGGAGAGGCCGAGCCGCAGCGGGGGCTCGACATCCGCGACCTCCTCCACAGTCTTGGCGTCGACCAGCTGGCGCCCCTGGCGCTCGCCGTTGTTGTCGAGCAGGGGGTCGCTATCATCGCCGCGGGGAGGGTCTGCGGCGCCGGGTCCGTCCTCGAGGGGTG